TTTTCGAATACATTAATTTATGCGCAAGTATAGCAAAATCCTGATTTTGCAAGAAAAGAATGTTCACTTTGTATTCAAATTTAAAATGTGTCGCGAATACTTCAAGTTATGCTCAAGCATCGCAAATCCACCTTTTTATATGAAATTACCATTCTGCTTGTATTCATGCGCACACATAATTGTATTCATGCGCACACATAAGTGAAGAGTTTTTTATAAAAAATCTTTCAACTTATGATGCTAAGACTAAGTGAGCAAGTAAGTATGTCATTTTAGAATTTCAGATATTTGTCAAAGTTAATGGAAATGAATTGCCTTCAAATTTGAAAAGTACTGAAAAAGGCAATTAGCTTTTGAAATTTCGGTCATGGAAAATGACCCGAAATAATCTTTTCACCTTTAATATACTTTGCTTAATTCAAAGGAAAGTATGCGAATTCGAGTCACGTCGTTGTCGTTATTCTTGATATTAATTGGCTTTTGTGATGGAATCCGTCGCCAATCTGTTCGAGTTGCTGGCCAGCTCAAATGTGGTGATAAGCCAGCATCTGGCGTTAAAGTAAAATTGTGGGATGAAGATGACGGTGAAATATTTAAATTGAATTTGCGAAGCAAAAATTTTATTTATACTAATTGATCTGTGCAAATTACTGATCCGTCGCCATCGTTCCGTTAGTAAAAATGGTGCTGTATGATCAGTGCTGATTGGATGCAAGAAATTCCAAACTTTTGCTATTAAAAAAACAATTATCGTAACTATTAAAAAGTTACGATTTTTTGCATGAAAAATGAATGACAATCTTTAGGGCCAGATCCGGATGACTTATTAGACCAAAGTGAAACTGATCGGAATGGAAACTTTGATCTTGAAGGTAGCACAAGTGAATTCACAACTATTGATCCAGTTTTTAAAATCTATCATGACTGTGATGATAGCTACAAAGTAAGCATTGTTGTAATAGACAATAAATATAAATTAAGATGCAAAGTTAGATTATTTCACGAAAAAAAATCAAAATTCCTGACAGTATCATTGTTTCACTGCTAACAATTGCTCCAATCTTGCTGAATTATTCAAGCAAAATCATAGCCTTCAATTTGCTTGCTTATCTGGTAGTTTCAGTTAACTTTTGACAAAAACTATTGATCAAATATTGGGAAAATCAGTAATTGTTTTTTGAAAATCCTACATCTATGATCGAGAAAGGTGATCGTTTCAGCCCGGAAAACGGAAGGTTAAATTACGCATTCCGTCTCAGTACATTACCTCCGGTTCCAAGGCTAAGAAAACCTTCAATGTCGGTGTCTTGAATTTGGAAACGATATTTGCAAAAGAAGAACGTGACTTGCTGTGATTCATTGCTTTGTGTAG